ATAATGGTTGTAGCTGTCATGTGGGGTTTTGGGTCTGTTATTAACTATCACATTTTTCTAAACACTAAACTTATTGACTAGTGCATACTTAGGTATTTTTTACTACATATTTTACTGCCCACACATCCAGTTACAGTTCTGCCACTACTTAGGAGGGATGATGGATTTTATCCAGGAACATACAGACTCTGCCTGCTTTTGTAACAGCTTATGGTCAGAGTTTACCAATACAAATCAACTGGAAATACTTGTATCTTATTCTTCTAAACCTTCTCACCTATTGAATCATTTAGATTTTTATATTCATTATTTTATACTGTGTGCTTGAAAGGTTGTGGGTTTTTTCTTGGCTTGGCTTTTCCTTCGCCTCCCAAACAGTCCTTTAATCTACCTTGATGACATCTTTTCTTAAGAGAGTGGAGTAGCTGTGCCTACAGAAGTTTTAGGAAACCCACTACCACCTTTTTATTTAACCTTAATTAGAAAATGAACTAATTTGTCTTTGAAAATAGCTTTTGAAAGGCTTTGAAAGTAGCTAGTGTGGTTCCTAAATGTGAATTATTGCTGACCTTTTTCTATACTGAAAATGTCAGATAGAGGCGTATGCAAAACAGTGACCTATTAAGAGGTGAATTTATTTTGTATTTTTCAAGCAGGAAGCGCTAAACTACAAAACCAGGCAAAATGCTTTGTGTCATGATGTTCTTGAGTGTTCCTTTGATGTTCCTCTGTTTTTCGTGGTTCCCCAGACTTTAGGATACCCTCCACAGTAGACGTGTGCCTGACCAAAGAGAACGCCTCCGGTTCCGTGAGATCTGCTCAGGAAAGGCCTGGCCCCGACGGCCGCGCTCGCTCGTCTCTTCAGGCCCCCGCGAGACCGACCCCCCGGTCCCGAAAAAGCGGCCGCCTGCGCAAAACCGCCCAGCGCTACTCTGTGCGCGACGCGAGGAGGTCGCAGCTCTCCACTTCCGACTCGGATGGCAATTCCGATGAGAAGGCTTCTGCAGCAACGAGGCACCGGCGCTCCCAGTTACTGCAGCCTTTTCTGACATATCCAGCAGCACCAACTCCTCATCCCGATGCCCCTCATCTGGAAACTTCCAGCCAAGCTGTTCCGGCACGTGAGCTCAACCTGGAGATCTTGAGTGAGCCAGCTTCAGAAGTTGCGGAGAGCAGCGTGGGTAACTCTCCTTTTGACTTGTGCCGTGTCCTGTTGTCGCTCCTAGAGAAGGTGTGCGGGTTTGATGTTACTGTGAATCACAGCTCTGCTCTTTCGGCGAGCGTGGTGCCCACGCTGACCGAGTTCTTGTCGGGGTTTGGAGACCCTTGCAGTGCGAGTGGTAGCACAGAGAACGTCGTCGTTTCTGCAGGGTGGACGGAAGAGCCCGTGGCTCTGGTCCAAAGGATGCTCTTTCGGACAGTGCTGCATCTTCTGTCTTTAGACATCAGCAATACAGAAGCGATGCCAGACAATTTACGGAGGAATTTGACAGACTTACTTAAAGCAGCATTAAAAATCAGAATTTGCTTGGAAAATCAACCTGATCCTTTTGCTCCAGGACTCCAGAAAACACTACAGCAGCCGGTTCAGGATGACTTTGTATTTTCTAGGTACCACCACCGAGCCTTGCTTCTACCCGAGGTGATAGAAGGGGTCTTGCAGGTTCTGATCTGCTGCCTGCAGAGCGCAGCCTCCAATCCCCTGTACTTCAGCCAGGCCATAGATCTGGTTCACGAGTTCATCCAGCACCAGGGGTTCGGGCTGTTCGAGGTCACCGTGCTGCAGATGGAGCGGCTCTGCGCGAAGAACGAGGGAGCAGCCGGGGAAGCCTCGGAGCGTCTGAAGGGCCTCGTCAGCAGCATCATGAAAATCATCAGCACTGTCAAAAAGGTGAAGTCGGAGCAGCTGCATCAGTCGATGTGCACGCGAAAGCGGCACAGGCGATGCGAGTACTCTCACTTCATGCACCACCACAGGGATCTCTCTGGGCTCTCTGTGTCTGCTTTCAAAAGCCAAGCTTCCAGAAACCCCTTCGAAACGTCCGATGGAGAGGTTCATTATCCAGACAGGTGCTGTTGCGTCGCTGTCTGCGCACACCAGTGCCTGCGCTTGTTGCAGCAGGTTTCTCTGAGCAGCACCTGCGTTCAGATTCTCTCGGGCGTACATAACGTCGGGATATGCTGTTGTATGGATCCGAGGTCGGTCATCGTCCCGCTGCTTCACGCCTCCAAGCTACCGACGTTAAAGAACTTCCAGCAGCACATACTGAACATCCTTAACAAGTTCGTATTGGACCAGCTGGGTGGAGCGGAAGCTTCTCCAAAGATGACGCAGGCATCGTGCAATATTTGCGGCGTCGACGGCGACCAACTGGCTCAGCTGGGGGACGCCTGGCAGGGCAGCACGGGCGATGCGGGGCTTGCGCCCAGCCCCTCCTGCAGGGCTCAGGGAATCCTGCCCAGCAGCGGCTCTGAGGACGTGCTGCTGAGATGGGACGCGCTGGAGGCCTACCAGGACGTTGCGTTTGAGGAGGACCAATTACGCGGCGTG